TATGTATATATATATATATATACGTATATATATATATATGTGTGTGTGTGTGTTATATATATATATACGTATACATATATATATGTGTGTGTGTGTGTGTGTGCGTATGTGTATATATATATATATATACATATATATATACATACATATACACACATATATATATATATATGTGTGTGTGTGTGTGTGTATGTATATATGTATATATACATATATATATATATATAATCGTATTCGATTACAATAGGTGTTGGCAATCAACGCTACCAGGGATTTGATCAAAATCGTCTTTAAGTTGAAAGCTATATATGAATTCGAGATTCTACATGATTATGTTGCAACTATTAAAAGATCTATTTAGGACTTGAGTTGGCGCTTGACACTCGAGTATTAATTAGTATAGAGGCTGTGCGCTGCACTATTGATGAAAGAGTCGAGTTTTGACTAGTGACTCGAGTATTGACATTTCAATATTTCCCTATTGCCGTTCTCAGTTTTTGTTGACAGCCTCTGAATCAAAAACCCCTAAATTAAATTGATACAAAGCACATCACTCGTTGGAGGTAAATACTTATGTGCTGCATACTCCAGTCAGAAGTTTGCTAAATATACCCTGAAGTTGGCACCTATAGGCTATAGGCTGTGTGCCAAAACGACATGCTTTTTTTAAATGGATGACCATGATCAAGTGATGGTATAAGGACCCGGGAAGAAGTGGATGGGCCCATGTATGCACACACCTGTAGTAGGAAGTGGGGCACGTTGGATATGTTTATTTGACCTGGTACAAACCGTATAGTACACTGTACAGCACATTTCGGTTTGCCGACGTGGCCAGACAGTCGGAAACTAACTCGTTACATACCCCGATAGATATTTTGAATTGGGACTCTGGGTCCTGGCCTCAATCGGGACCCGGGGGCCGTGGCTGGAGCTCTCGGGCTCGGGTGATTGTGGAGGCCTGAAACTGAAAGCCGAAAGGGCAAGGCTGAGGCCCCGAAGCGGCGCGTGGGTGGGTCCAGTGACCACTGACCGGATTGGGACCGTGACTGGCGACTGGCGACTGGCGAAGAGTCTTAGAACTATGTATCTTGATAGGAATTTGCGTTCTGATTTGAATATCCAATAACTAAATATGCGGGTTTGAGAATATTTTTGCTCTTTCAGTAAACAACTATGATTTTATTGATTTACAGATTTGCACAATACTCTTTTTTGATGATTCACTGATTCAGAAGGCTATTTATGTTTTTTCATACATATGTAGCCTTCTAAATTAATATTATACATTTGTTTTTTTAACAAAACTTCAAAAGCAGTTGAGCACAACCGAACATTTTGTTTTTGTTTTTTATTAAAAAATCAAATTAGCGGGTCTCTCAAAGGCGACTATTTAATTTCTTGAAAAACAAAAACATATACATCACTTATCGCTATCCTACATATGTTACTTTTTACAGTTTACCTGCATGTTCGTTGTTTTGTGTTCGCTCTATCAGTCTATCGCTCCCTGTCTAAAATAGAGAAAGAGAGAGTAGAGGCTAGCTAGAGAGAGCTAAATATTTAAAAGCGCGTGGGCATCTTCAGTTCCTCTCATCAAGATGTATTCACCTGTGCTGTGCAAGTTCAAGCAGTGAAAAGTCAAAAGTGCAAAAATGCCGCTATTTTATGTACTCGAATCCGCGACTATAATTTCCCCATCTACGCGCAATAAAATCGGACTAGAATAGAGGGTGTAAATAAGTGGTTGTGCACTCAACGGGTCTATTTTTTAAAATACACAAGCAGAATCACAATATATATAAATGTATAAAGCTAGGCCTCCTACTCCAGTTGGTATCATATCGTACATCATCTGGTCTAACTTTCTCGAAGACATACTAAAGAGAATACGAACATGCATTTGCATTTGGCACAACTATATTCGTTAGCATCTGCGTTTCTACTCACAAGTTATGGTACGCGTGCAATGGCAACTACAAATGACTGTGCAGGAGAGTGGTCCGACTGCCGTGTCAATTTCGATTGCCAGCAAAGCTACACTGTAAACCAAGCGGCAACAGATGGAGGTAAAGAGTGTGATTTCGAGGATGGCGCCCAACGCGAATGTGAAGATACCGGTGGATGTCCCGTCAAGTATGCATATGAGATTGTTAAGCCTATTGTGAGCATGCCACAGTACACTAACGTCACCGCTGATATTACTGGTAGTCTGACTATGCAGATTACCGACACATTGGATGGGGTCCGCTATAAATACACTTTCGATCAGGACGTTGAACCGACTGGCCTTCTGCCTTTTGTTGCTATGCATTTGCACCAGGGAGATGCTGATGCCGGAAAATTCGGCTCCGTTGTCTCGTCGATTGTAGGAACGGGCGACATAGTAGGATGCGTTACACCAATAGGGACAAGTATATGCAGTGAGGAGTGCTTGGAACCTCCATATTCTTATCAATGCCTGAAGGAATCGGATCCCAAATGCAAACTGGCGACATGCTTGCCAATAGTAAGTGCAGACTTCTGTCCCGGGGGTTGTGCTGGAGATCAGCGTGATGGAAAAGAGCCGTTAAACAACATCGCGCCATCACGAACATGTGAAACACCATATGGTTTTGGGCCTGAAGAAGGAAAATGGTATACCGCTCTATACAATGACGAGCGAAGTGGGAATTCGGAGGATGACACATACTCTCCTTACTCGGTGTTTATTAATGGTCATCAAAACAAGATGTGCTCAACCCAGATCTCGTTCCTATCGACATTATTGGAAGAGGGTATGCCATCGTATGTAGCTATCCATGCCAACCACAATGCACAGGGACTCCCAGTGCTAACTACAGGAACACTGTTTGCAGTCATCAACGATGGTACGGGCGTGGATCTAGAACGGTATCGCATTGAATAAGGCACCTTCTCTGTGTCTGCACTTCTAGTATAAAATAATAATAAATGGAGCCAGACTGACACTACAGCATTAGGTATATTTTATGTGCAGCTGACACGAGTCGAGTATTATATCTGTGCGGCTACATGTGGGTGAAATATAAAATTTCGCATCCTCGGCGATGCCGGGGTCATATCCTTGGCTTTAAAATCGTTACAATAGTACATGATTTTAAAATGCTGGCACATATATTCCACTCTAAGATATGCCACATACCAAATCGTATCTCGGATGCTCTACAACCGTTGCTACGAAGAATTTTGAATGTTAATTCGGTGAAATGTATAATGTATATCACACAAACGTACAGTCGCGCCTGACTATATAAATTCACACGTGTACACATGTACAAGCGCCAGCGTGGAAGCAGAGTTCATATATACACATTCGTCACATAAATAGTCGACATGAAAGTACCGTAGCGCCGTGCACTGGGCGTACATAATTTTCCGCATCTCTGTAAATGCAAGGCAGGCATGAACCATTCAAAGTTCCCATGAAAGTGCAAACAGGTGTTTTAAACTTGGTATATACCAAAACGTCTTTACTACGCGAAGTGCAGTGAGAAACTTCTGGATGGCCTCGCCCATCTGTGCGACATCCCTACGAGCGTAGTCAATATAAAATCTCCTCAATTAGCTAATATCGGTCAAAACGCTCAGTTATATATCCATCTAATTAGCAGTCATCTGATGATGTGCTCTGTGTTGTTCCTATTCGACTGGGTGTGCAGTATGCAATAAAGTACATAGTACATCCCATGTTCGACCTCAAACGATGCGTGTATCAGCATTCATGTGCGGCCTCGGACTTCTAGGCTCCAAATAATCCGAAGTCAACAACCTTTAAAGAGCTGATACAGGACAAGAAACCTTCCGAAGACATCAAGTCGTGAACGGGTGCTGCGTGTGAGAGAGATGATATGCAAAGATGAACAATGAAAGTCAAGTCACTAATCTGGAGAGAGTAAGTGTGAGTACAATACACTTTCGGCGGTAGTCGATCGAACGGTCTTGTGGGGAACGGCTAAAGATACGAGCGCGTACAGTTGAGTGGTATGTGCAAGCATACACCACTGGTCGATTGTATAGGCGTGAAACCACTATGTAGCAGTAACCAATCAAGAACCAATCACACATCAATCAATACACGTCGATTTTTCGCAATACACCTGTACAAGGTATGTCGACTTCTGCTCGGTTCCTACGCACATGCAACATCATCAGCAAGGACACTATACTGGATACTCAGCCATGTATCCCACTATCCATGGATAGAAGCAGCCGACTCCTGCTCAATACGCTTCTGTGAATATTGCTCGTATTGATAGCCATGCATCTTCTATGGTTGTGCATATGTCGGTATCTATGTCTAGCTGCAGCGCAAAGCCGACTGTACCGTACTGTGTAACTGACTGCCGATTACCCTTTCCAATTAGAATACCCATATTTCAATAAGTAGTATAGAACAGCTAGGAATTTTGGTAAAGTGAAGGGCAGACCAACATATGTGAGCGCAATCTGTCATATCACATCACACAATCTACGCAACACTCGTATGATAATCACCAGCGGGCATACCCCAGTGAAGTATTTCTCAATATACATAGCCAGGTGTATGGGAACTACATAGTTTACCGACTATAAAAGATCGTATGTGTATCCGTATACTCATATATGTGTATGTTTGCAGTAGAGTGACTCATTATATAGTGTGTGCATAAACATATGCGAGTGCTCATGTTTGCCTACCTTTGCCAACAACGCTGCTACTGGCATGACTCATTTGCACAGGGTTATTAAAACTAACCACGATGTCTGTGGTCACCTGCGGCAACCGGATCAGCACGAGTTCGATTTTTAACACATTCGCCGCGTCTGCATCTGTACAGTGCCGCAAAGAGAAAGAAAGAAAGAGAGAGTATTGGTCACATCGCAAGCACGGACCATTGTACCATACTTAAACAGCAATCGTATACATATGCTGGGTGTAAATAACAGAATAGTAATTGTTATGACGACAATCGTCTACTCAAAGAGGATTTTAGTAGTGATATTATAGTAGCATATACCTTTGTACAACACCGCCAGTGCACACTTAGGAAGAACTTGAATTAATATATATAAAAATACACTGATGGATATAAG